TAGTTTCCAGGCTAGGTTGTACGAGTCCATCATTGAGACGTTCATGCCTTGGCCAGCCTAGTGGAATTGAAGTCAGTGATGTCCTCCAGAGGAGAGTTGTGGAAACGTACTTTCGGACTATGTGTATGGCAGGCTATGAATATGATTCATGTCAGTTTGAGGCCAGGAACTCTCTTCAAAATGAACTTACCGTCTCCAGCAATGAAAACCCTTGCAACCCCCTTTGAATCATTCACAATAAACTCAGGCGAGACACGCTGGCCGATTTGATAGGCAGCCCACCAGTCAACAGCATCTTCCTTGGGCCGGAGATAGTATGGTTTGATTGCATCGGCAGCTTGTTTCAGAATTCCCTTGAGGGTAATCTTACTTCTTCGCTGCCGGGCATCTCCAGGCTTAACACCCTCGACTCCACTCGGCGTTTGATCACTCTCCGGAGCCACATCCTCAGGAACCTGAACATACAACCGAGTGAGGTATTCGCCCGTGGAGATCCTCTCTCTGGGGATGATCATAACGGAGCCAGCAGGTGAATGAATAGCACAACGGCGACGAATATCCGGAAAATCGGTCTCAGCGACCATATCAACCACACCCCAGATATGATCCAAGGACTCTCCATCCAGCCGCAGGCCCATACACTGTCGGACGACCGAATGCGCCCCATCCGCACCAACAAGATGTTTGGTGCGCACTGTCTTCTCAACACCATCCGCAACCATACTCACAAGCACGGGGAACTCGGCATCACCCTCTTCATCAATCTCGACATCCACAACCTTGGTGTTCCGCACAATCCCCCTCTCGGAATACCGCAGCAGATCAGTCTCCATGATGCGCTCGATGCGTCCCTGGTGGATGGTAGCTTCGTAACGGAACCGCGCCGGAGTAATAACGTCCGGCACGATGGATGTGCGTTCAATGACCTTATTTGGGTCCGAAGACGGGTTCCAGAATGCGAATTGCCACATCTGGCACGCTTCGTTCTCGATCTCGGTTGAGATACCGAGTGTTTTGAAGACTTCTAGTGTGCGGGGCTGCACGCCGTCTGCTTGGCCGGATTTCAGGGTGCTTGCTTTTGCGTCGATGCAGAGGAGAGAGGTATCGCTAAGGCCATACCGGGAGAGGAGGAGGCTTAGCATTAGGCCTGCTGGTCCGGCCTAGATACTGGTATTAGGGTTTCTTTTTCGTTCGAATGTTGAATACCGTGCTGATATCCAGGACATTGAAACACATACGCCGACCACAACTGCTTCGTATTTGTCTTCATTTTTATCGTTGCGCTCGAATGGGGTCGCTAGTCGTGGTAGTGGCGGTGCAAATGATGGTAGGACTCTCAGGTCCCGGGACGAGGAGGAATGTTCTGTGAAGACAGGCATTGCTTTTCTGAGCGCTAGAGGCAGATAAATTGAGAGCTTTTACTGAAAAGAAGAGTAGCTACACTTATAAACCGGTCTTGATTGATTTGAGCTGTTTTTACGGGGTAGAGCTACAGTTCCCCACCATACGCTTCATATGGATGGCAAACCTGTACATCCCCCGCGATTTGTGATGATTAGAAACCATTGTGCCTTATTGTGATTGGATCGAGGCTAACAGATAGCTTGTCTCAAGAAGTTGACCGCCGGAGAGGGTGAGAGTTCCGATATATGTACTCTGTACTACAGTGGACAACCCTGGTTTATCCATGGATGCTTTTTGCCGCCTTCGTATACATCTGAGACATCCAAAAAGAACCCAAAACACGTCAGTATGTTACAGATAATGTCTCTTATATTATTTACCGAGGTAGAGATTATTCTCGCAAGATGCCAATCATTTACCTCAAGATGAACAACCGTCCCACATAGTGGAGCCTCACCCCGCAAGATACTGGGGGGTGAAAAACCAACGGATGCGAGCATCGGCAGTCATCGCCATATAAGCATTTAGTAATTTAGAAAAGCAGCCCTGAAGCCGTATAGTCCCATAACTGCTTGACTATATTGCAAGTAATTGCTACCTAGGTAGTTTCATTTGAGCCTAGTATGCAATTAAAAAACGCCAATTGATTTCGGTGCCTGCGGGCACCTAGGGCTGCATCCAATGGCGGTTAGTCAGCTATGGGGGTTCCAACCTTAGAAAGGTTATGTTTTTTCTGTAGTAGATTGTTAAGAGGTATTTTTAGCCTCTTAGATAAAGAATCACCGGTGATAATACGTCGGAAAGGCCTACGTAGTTCATGCTTTTTACTGCCTTCGTATACATCTATCTAAAAAGAAACGTCGGTATGTTCTTACATATAACGTCCCTAATATCACCCTGGATAAAGAATACTGATTTGTTTGAAATGCCTACCTAATGGCCATATGGAAAGAGGGAAGTAAAATACACTCGTAACTCATTAATCGGGCCGCAAATTGCAGCAGCCCTGGATCACACCAAGACGATCCTGAGCAAACTTCAAATCGACGTCTAAGATTTTTGCTCAAAGTACTGCTCAACTCGGTCTACGAGATCTGCTTTCTTTCCTGCCGTAGCACGGCCATGTGCATGCAAGAATTCCTTCAGCACGGCCACCGTAAGCTGAAGGAGAGTATTAGTTTGGTCAATTAGCCGAGGGGATTCGAATGCTCACCTTGGAAACAGTGCCTTTCGCATAGAATTTCTTCACTTCATCTTCCACACTGGAGGCGCTGTCTTCAACCTTCACCCGCTTTGATGGGTGCTCACCAGCTGCCTCGGTCTTTGCACCTCGCTTTGCCAGCGTAGAGGTGGCGGCTGCTGACCCGCCAAAGATCTCGGAAGCTTGCAATTTCAGCTCCTCGGCCCATTTAAGAATGTAGTCGCCAGCGCGCTGTGATAGAGCATCCATTTGGTCAGCACATTCCGGCAATTTCTGGTATCATGGAAGCACGCCAACCTTGTGAATCTGTCGGTACTTAGGCACGGTCTTGTCATCTGGTGATTCTGGGAAATTTTCATCCAAGGCGATAGCCTGTAAGATACGATAATGCCACTGAAGTGCTGTAAATTAGTCAGTACCATTTTCAAAAAACCGCAGTGATAAAGGCTCACAAGGATTTGGATATTTTGAAGGATCATATACAGCCTTGGGAAGTTGCAACTGGCGAACAACATCTCGCATGGCGTCATTCACCGCATCCCCTGCCCGGTGGACGGTGCTCTCTGGATTTTGGCGCACATCGTCCGCGAAAGGAAGAGGGATAATCCACATCCCAGGTGGAATTTTCTGTACGCCATTCTCGTCGATCTTCTCAGCCCCAGCAATCATAGCAGCTAAGACTGGTGAGGCATTTCTGCGGGCGATGAACCAGACCAAAGCCAGTTTCTGAGATTCGAGGAGTTTCTGCTGCAGTGCAGAAAAGACTCGTGTTGAGCCAATGTAATCCTCTTCGGAGGGATAGATAAACGAGGGGTGTTTGACATTGGCCCAGAACGGGAGGGCGGACAGTGGCTTAAACCCAATGATACGGATCACAGGGTCACCGAAGCTTCTTAGCGCCTGTTGTTCTTCGATGGTGAATGCAACCTGCTCGCCACCAAACTTATATGCCTTGCGAATAGCAGATTTATCGATCTCCTGTCCTGTGTCATCGGACATTAGAGTTGTAACACCTTTAGCAATCTGAGCAGTCTCGCCTCCTTGCCAGACGAAGCAACTCCTAGCAGGCTCTTGCTTTTTGAGGAGCAAATATCCATTGACGGATATCTTGAAGTCAGGTCCGATCTCAAGTGGCACATTTGAGAACAGCGATCGCCGGGGGACAGATCTCGAATTGATGCTAGACAATAGAGAATTGAGCAATGAAAGTCCATCACCTTTAGCTGTCGATGTGTTCGTATCCGGCTGCAGGTATGTCGGGGCATCTCCATCACTGGGCGATGTTTTGTAGATAATGTCCTGCCAATTGTGAGTATACCCCTATGGAAACAAGGTTCATGACCTACGTCGTAGAATTTAGAGGTGTCAAATTCGTTATCTGGTTGAGAGATGGGAAACAACTCGATATTGACACCAAGATCGTACAAGTCCCTCGCACGAACTGTTGCAGCAGACCGCATTCCCTTGTTGTCTGCGTGGGGATTATCGTTGTCGGTCACGACAAACAGTCGTCGAGAAGAAAAGTTTGGAGCTTTTGAGGTAAAGATTTGGTTGGCGCAGAACAGCATATTGGCCATGGAGACTGGCTCCTTTGATGGCTCCAAGACCTGTCGTACGTCCTCATCAGCATCTGCTGGGGATGCGAGGGACCGCAGTTGCTTGACTTCCTGGGCTGATGGAACGTCAAGATCCGTGTATAGATAACAGTGTGGATATGAGAGATCTCCACGGTCGTCCTCATTTTCATCATAGAACTTGGACGATTCCGTTCCGTAAAGCAAAACGCCAATCATGTCATGAGGGTTAGAGATGATGCGTTGTTGCATCAGATGGTATGCACACTTCAAGGCTGCAGACGCCGGTGATTCGTCGCCATGCTTCTTAGGATCAGGCGACGGGCGAGGCGTGAGCATCGAACTGCTGATGTCTATGGCAAATAGCACCGCATCTTTGACTGATTTGAAGCTCTATGTAGGCAACAGTCAACAGTTGGTAACTATATCACCAACTTTTGATACTCACGGTCTCGTCGAGCTCTTCATCCTCGTAATTCTCCTCCTCGCGTGTGTAGTGATCTTCAGCCATTGTTATGAAACAGGGAACCTTGGAAGATTGGAAATATTAAAAAGGTGTAAATTAATCAAGTCTAAAGTATCATTGAGACGCGCTCTCCGACGCGGGCAACACGAAAGTCAGGTGACGCTGATGCCTGAAGCTGCTGACATCCCCTTGCGGTGATTGGTCCACATCCGGTGGGCGGCGGAAGCTACATGGAACCAGAACCGGATTCAACAAGTCCGAGGTCCAAGTTGGAAGTTGGAATTGTCATCTCCTCAGTATTCTCTCGTATTTACCCTACTCCTCGATATAATATCTCGACCTCCTCGACGCAACCATGTCATTCCGCAGTCCTTTCGCGATCCCCCGACAGTTATTGACTGGGACCATATCTCTTGGAGGTCGGTCGGCAATTAGCAGTCGATTGAGACACAATCAACGAGGTCTCGCGACGGTGGTACCGCCAGTCACACAAGATGCGACGGGCTCCAAGGGCCCCACGGCTATGGTTTTTATGAACATGGGTGGACCTTCCACAACGGACGAGGTAGAGGACTTTTTGAGCAGACTATTTGTATGCGTCATACATTGCTCCAATGGCCACATTGAATTGATATGCTAACACATTGAATTACAGGCCGACGGTGATTTGATTCCCCTGGGACGACTCCAATCGTATATCGGCCCCCTCATCGCACGCCGGAGAACCTCGAAGATCCAAAAGCAGTACGCAGATATCGGCGGCGGATCGCCCATTCGGAAATGGTCCGAGTACCAATGCGCAGAAATGTGCAAGTTATTGGATAAGATGTCCCCGGAAACCGCGCCGCATAAACCTTACGTTGCCTTCCGCTACGCTGCCCCATTGACCGAGACCATGTATGAGCAGCTTTTCGCCGATGGATTTGGCAAGGGCAAGGGAGGACGTGCTGTCGCATTTACACAATACCCGCAGTACTCTTGTTCAACAACCGGCAGTTCCCTTAACGAACTGTGGAAGTGGCGTAATCGTCTCGAGGGAAAGCGCGCAAATGGAGGGTCCGAGCCGGCTGGCGCAATCCAATGGAGTGTCATTGACCGTTGGCCCTCTCACTGTGGTCTTGTGGAGGCTTTTGCACAAAATATCGAGGCTCAGCTTAAGACGTACCCAGAGGAGAAGCGAGACGAAGTCGTGTTGCTGTTTTCGGCCCACAGCTTGCCTATGAGCGTCGTCAACCGAGGTAGGCTGATGTCCCCTGGTTACCTGCTAGAATTACACTAATTACTCTCTTTCACAGGCGACCCTTACCCCGCCGAAGTTGCAGCGACAGTTCATGCCGTAATGCAACGACTCAAGTTCAAAAACCCCTACCGCCTGTGCTGGCAATCTCAGGTGGGACCTAGTGCGTGGCTCGGGGCCCAGACCAGTGATACTGTTCAAGAGTACGTGAAACGAGGACAGACGGACTTGGTCCTAGTTCCCATTGCGTTTACAAGTGACCACATTGAGACACTCTACGAGCTGGATCAGGAAGTCATCCATGAAGCCAACAACCCGGGTGTCAAGCGCGCAGAGAGCTTGAACGGAAACCCAGTCTTCATCCAGGCACTTGCCGATATTGCTCACGACCACTTGCAAAAAGGAGAATTGTGTTCTCGCCAGATGACACTGCGTTGCCAGGGCTGCACCAGCGAGCGGTGCTTGGGTCAGAAGAAATTCTTTGCAGGCCAGGAACATGCTTCTATGGTGATATAGGCTGGCTGGGCTTGAGCTGCTTTGTTCGGACTGGGAGAGTTCATCATTGGATTTTTGTATATACAGTACTAGTAGGTGTTGGAGGCGTTGTTAAGAGTATAAATTTCGGGGTTAATATACGGTATAATATATTTTCATTAATATATTCCCAAATCTATACCAGAGGCAAGACATCTACGATATATAAAAGGATAAACCGCCTGGGAATGCCACCTTAGTATAACCACCTGGGCAAGCAATCAAGTAAAGGGTGGAGTGCGCAAGTTCCGCAGGGGCTTGGGCCGTTCAAATGCCATTGTGTCAAATCGCAGCAGTGTGGCAGATCTAATTCTGGTCCAACTCTCCTGCACCGACCAGGCCCCAGCCACAGTGAGGCACTGCGACAACAGAACGACCAACCACACCCGCAGATAGAGACAGTGTGAATTTTGAAAGCAGCCTAGGAAAATTACTTAGGACTGGCTACTCTCCTTCTGCTAGTGCGGAGATTCCGGAGATATCGATTACCAATGATGAGATCCCCGGCCCGATAAGAATTCAAGGAAACCTAACAACTGACATTCTCCCCTCTCAATATGAGAATAAATTATCCGTGGCTTTAGATATTATACATCAATTGTACGATAAGCTTGGATAACCCTAGAAACACCACCAATGCCACCAATTTCATAATGGAGAACGAAGAACTATTTGCGGGGGATCCCGATGTTGCCCAGCTGCACACCCGAGAGATTCGTCCCACTGAAGATGTGAACGAAAACACACCTCTAATTGATGAAGCCGATGGGCTATTGCATCGACAGCCTTCTTACGTTACGGATAATGAGCCGAAATGGAGGAAACCGAGCGTGAGTGACTATCTGGTTGGCGACAAAAGCGTCAGGAACAACTGTCTAATCTGCAATCGCGATAGATTTGGTGGCTGCTTCCATTCGGTCTCCTCTTTACCCTGGGCTTTGGTGGAATGGCCGTGCCCAAGATCAACTTGATCATGTCACTCATCTGTCGAGATTATCTCGCCGAAAAGATTACCGAAGACCCTGGCTTCACCTATCTCCCTGTTATATTTGGCGAGAAGGAACCTCAGTGCCAGATACCGCAAGTTCAGTCATTGGTTGCCCAGTTCCAGCTCTATCTCAATCTTATTGCGGGTATTCTATCGGCATTAGTGAGTCCCCGGTTCGGACACTTATCCGATCGTTACGGAAGGACCAAGATGATCGCTCTCGGCGCCATGGGCGCGGTATTCAATGAGCTTATCACTGTCGTCGTGGCTAAATGGCCAGAGCGGTTCTCGGTCAATATGCTTCTGGTTGGTGCAGTTATGGATGGACTGGGTGGATCATTTACAACCGCACAGGCTTTGATCCATTCCTATGCTTCTGATTGTACGCCAACCGAAAAGCGAAGCGTGGCATTTGGTTTATTCCACGGTGCTCTGTTCTTTGGAATCGCAGCAGGACCTGGCGGTGCAGCATTTTTAATCAAGCATGGAGGCACGCTGCTCGTCTTCTACATTGCGCTTGCATTCCATGCAACTTTCTGTCTATCGGTCTTCTTCATCGTGCCTGAATCTTTGTCCAAGGATCGACAGCTCGCGGCCCGCGAGAAGCATCGCATGAAAATCGAGGATGGTGACTCTCCTAGGTGGTACTCTTGGCGTGTCTGGAACCCAATGAACCTGATCACCCCGCTTGCAATTCTCATGCCCGCCGCTGGAAAGCCCAGTGTCTTGTTCCCTAACCGCCGTGGTGCCAGCCCGGCTCTACGCCGGAATATCATTTTGTTGGCTGCTATCGATACCGCGGTCTTTGGAGTTGCCCTGGGCACAATACAGGTTATCATCATCTACGCCGAATACATGTTCAACTGGGGCAGCGTGGAGTCCAGTCTGTTTGTGGCGACCATTAATGTGGTGCGAGTGGTCAATCTTTTCCTGGTTCTTCCGCTTATCTCGCTGTCCTTCCGCACCCCTTGCGAGGAAGATGGAACCATTCGTGGCTCGGACACGCTGGACATTGTTCTAATCCGCACATCTATAATATTCGATATACTGGGCTACATCGGCTATGCTCTGGCCAAGACGCCATCAGTTATGATAATTTCCGGTATTGTCGCCTCGCTCGGTGGCATGGGATCTGCAATCTTGCAGTCGTCTCTGACCAAGCATGTGCCTCATGAACGCATTGGACAGATGCTCGGTGCCACTGGTCTTTTACATGCTCTTGCTCGAGTTGTTGCACCTACTGTCTTTAACTTGATCTACAGTCTGACTGTTGCAACGTTACCTCAGACAGTGTTTGTGGCACTTGCAGCTGTTTTTGGTGTAGCATTCCTCATGAGTCTGCTAATCAGGTCGCATGGTATGTTTATTTTCCTGAGTTCTTACAGGAGGTATACTAATTGCTGTACTAGTTACCCTAGAGGATGGACCACCTGCCGATCTAAGAGCGGAAGAAGATGCCGATGAGTCTGACGGGCTTTTGCTATGATAGACGGCTCTTTGAGATACTAAGCTGCACTTGCTTGCATATGTTAGATGTCTGCTTCGTTGGAGTATTTTCTAATGGAATATGTTCTACATGGTTTTAATAGACAGATTCTTTTTCTAATTTGGGTAACTCCTATCGATATATACATATGTATGTAGCTGTTGGGTATTGCGTGATAAGATGCTTGATGCATGCTAGAAGCAGAAGACTATAGAGCTATTGGAGAAACACAAATCACCTCGATAGCCCTGGAGTAGCTGGGGAATATGCTATGGGCAGCTCGACTTCCTTTGACATGTTTATTTGGGCCTTTTCCATGTATTTCTTCCGAGAATATGTTTTATATAGGAAGCTATGGAAGATGTATCCGGTTAGACCACCCATGGTCGTATGACCAGGCCAGCCTCCGGTGGGCGGCATAGTCCTAATGCGCAAGTTGATTTGCATCGGGAAAAAAGAAGTTGCTCCGAACTTACCCTACTCTCTCAGCTTCAATTGCCTGTACACTTAATCTTGGATCATAGCTGGCGATTGGAGCTACTTACCTTTCATTTATCTCACCTATCTCCTTATTTCTAAACATTGGTGTGAGGCCGCCCATGCACGATTGGTGAACTCGCGCGCAACCGCGCTCAGCATCTGCAATATGCTTGCCCGCGCCGCAAAATCCGGCTCGATAGTCCCTTCTCCAAATGCCCTCCGAGTGCTTCGCCAATTGGCCCTGGCCGGCTCAACTGTCGGCGGATTCTGCACCGTCGCAGCACTCACGTACGAAGCCCATCGCCGGGTCCGCGTCGCCGAGAAAATCATCGAGAACAAACGAACATTACACAGCACTGCCCCAAATTATGATGCCACATCTGCTGCCAAACGACTCAAGGTGATGGTTGAGGCGGCCGAAGCGGGCGAGTTTATGGGCATTGAATCTCTCAAGGCGAGGAATCGGAACGTACCTGACGGGCCAAATGAGCCAGGGTTCGAGACAGAAAAAGATGGTCCAAAGCCCAAGCCTAGGCCTCTGGTCAGCTTGGAAAAACACCATGCTCGCTCGAAACGTTCGCTCTTTGGGACCCATCCAATTGCACAATCCAACTACACGGGAAAGGTCGATGCTCCGAGCTTGGCTCAGAACGCTGAAATTCTGGCTCGTGAGAAACAGCAGGGCGAAATCGCTCGAGAATCTGGCAAGCTGCCCTTTGACGCCGAAATCCGCAGGCTTTTGAATGAAGAGCGGGAAATCACTGCTGCGAATCTGTTCTTAGCGCACACTCGGCAGACACCTAACATTTCTTGGGAACGCAGAGAGCTTGCATGTATTATATTCACTGCAAACTGCATCAAGGGAAACCTGTTCGTTGCTCGAACTTTGTTCAACCGCCTGGACAAAGTCAGTGTCGTCTCGGGCGAGATGTGGGCTACACTGATGCATCTGCTTGCGAAAGAAGGCCACATCGACTCTGTGGGCGTTATATACGATAAATTCAGAACCAGCTTCACTGTCCCAACGCATCTTTTGGAGGTCATCCTCCGATGTCTAATCGAGTCCAAACGGTTGGACTCCGCCAAATTCCTCTTCTTCCAGCGCTTCGAGGATGACCGTGACTGTGGTCTGTGTGGTGCTTATCTTGATGGACTGTGGAGGAAAACCAGGAGCATGGAATTGCTGTCTTCCCAACTCGTCCTGATTCTCAAGCGTCTCGAATCACTCGATCGGAAACCAACTGAGAAACTTTTCAATCCAATGGTCAAGGCCATGGTTGAAACTGGCCGAGCCGAAGAAGCCGAAGCTATGGTCAAGGCAATGTCAACAGATTATGGAACGGAGCCTGGGTGCCGGACAATTGGCTTGATTATCTACAACAGAGCACTTAACTGTGAATGGGACAGGGTCATGGATGGCATGCATGCTATGCACGAGCACGGATACACCCAATCAAAGAAAGACTTCGCTATGATTTTTGACCGCGTCTTCTTGGAATACTATCCCACCCACACAGGCCAGCAAATTCTCGACTTCGTCATCTCTTGTGTCAACGATTTTGACATACAACCCGACAAAGTACTCCACCGACACATCCTTGAAGCGATCATTGAAAAGGGCAACGAAGAGATGCTCACAACCATTATGGACATGGCCCGCGATCAGAATTGGAACACCGGTATTGACGATCGGTTTATCAAGTCGCTCCTGAAAAGCCGAAAACTCGCAATGACCGACAGCCCTGTGGGGATCTGGCGGCTGAAGCAAGCTGCCAAGAATCGACAAGATCATTTAACTTCTTCACAGCGCATCCTTGGGTCTAGTTCTGATACTTGGGCAGTAAGAGGAGATAAAATTGCCCCGATTCATATTTCCGCCGAGGAATCTTTCCCTCAAACGGTGAGCGAGATGGTGGCCTCCAAAAGTGCCAGTTTATATGTTCCGCTCCATAAGCGGATGGAGCACTTTATCAACATGGGCAGGCACACCGATGCTCTGGAAATTTACAATCACGCAAGCACAGGCGGTTACGTTGTCAGACCACTTCATTTGAAGCTAGCTGTGATCGCCGCAATTCTCAGCTGCAAAGAGACAGGCTTGGCGAACGCGCGACGTCTGATTACATCCGAATGGGATTACTGGAAGAATGTTGCTTCTCTCCGTTATAGCAAGCGTTTCACTTCGTGGATTCCCATCTTCTTCCAACGGGTCATGGAGGTGGACCCAGAAGCCATTGGGCATGGAGGCTTGATCAAAATGGCCATTTTTGAATATTATGAAGTTTGTGCCAACACCAATGGTCTTTCGGTGAAGCACTTCTGCGCGACTTCTTCCAGCCGTTACCTCATTGGGGTTGGAACGCCAGAACTTGCCGTCGATCTGCTCACAACAATCTATCAATCTCGCTGGCGGCTCTCCCATGGCTTCGACGAAGTACTATTGAAGATGCTGCTGCGTGCGTTTTCCAAGGTCCATAACTTCAAGGGGGTTTGGTGGTGCATAATGACAGTCCTCTCGCGGAATGAGCCAATCAATCAAGACTTTGTCGTGGAAGCTACCTCTCAGTTGGGCTCATTAGAAAGTGCGATCAGATCCTCTGGCTCCCACGAGGCCCCAGGTCAAGTGTTGGTACTCCGGCAAATCGTTGGGGCACTGGAGGCCAAGTTTGAAGGTGACTCGCGTTGGTCAGCCATCAATGTTCGCCCGGAGTTGAAAAGGTCGAGACGTTCCAAGCCATTCAGAGTCACCGAGCAACAACATCTACTGCCCACCACCGACCTAGGGGAACTCATCACGAGCTTTGATGAAGAGTGGGAGTTGGATATGTTGCTCAGGCGCAAACAGTTCGACGCTCCTGATCATGCAAAGTGGTGGGCTGAGTCCAATGTCACGAAATCGCATACCGTCCCTTCAGAAGATCCCGAATACCCGTGGAACAATCCAGCGAATTGGGGTGGGCACTATGTACCCGAGAAGTACTCGTCCGACTATCACCTTCAGTTTTCACCTAAAGGGGAATACGAAGAGTATATGGAGTACGAGGATTATCAGGGGCATCGGGCGTCTCAGTGACGTGTATAATAATGTAAATAGTACTATATACAATAAACGTCGATAGATTCATAAATAAATAAATATGCCTATACATTGTTAAATATATGTAGTTATCCAGATCAGTCCACTTGGAGAGCTGACACCGTGATGTCCCCTGCTGCGTAGAATTGAGAAGGCGGAGAGAGGTGATCCTTTCACATGTCATGCCACCCCTTTCTCTCCGCAAAGAAGGAAAAAAAAACATCAGCCCATAAACACAGCCAATCGACTTTCCTTTAAATCAATCGCTCAGGCCGATAATGGTCCTGCCTCTGTCGACTCCGTTCTGACAATATCTACTCTTTAAACCCCAAAATGGCCTCCGTGCTCAATGGCCACGCCTCCCTCTCCCCGGCCGCTCAACGCCGCATCGACCACCATGAAGCTGATGTTGTGATTGTGGGTGCCGGAGTCCTTGGCTGTGCACTTGCAGTCGCGCTGGGAAAGCAAGGACGCAGTGTGATCCTGCTGGAAAAGTCGTTGGAGGAGCCCAACCGCATTGTTGGTGAACTACTCCAACCGGGAGGTGTTCAGGCGCTCGAGCAGCTAGGGCTACGGGATTGTCTGGAAGATATTGATGGCATTGACGTGAAGGGATACTGGGTTTCTTATTTTGGGGAGCCGGTTCTCCTCGAATACCCCAAGTCCAGCCCAACCTCACCTACGCCGTTGGGACGTGCTTTCCATCATGGTCGATTTGTGATGAAACTACGGGCAGCCGCTCTCTCCTGCCCCAACGTCACAGTAGTCGAAACCAAGGTGACTGGCCTTATCACATCGTCATATACTCAGGAAGTCCTTGGAGTCGAGTGTATAACCAAGGATGTCAAGGACTGCTACTTCGGTCAACTCACCGTGGCCGCCGACGGCTACAACTCCGATTTCCGCAAGCAACACCACCAGTATACACCCAAACGGCGATCAAAGTTCTATGGTTTGGAGCTCATCGATGCTAAACTCCCCGCGCCCAACACTGGTCATGTCCTCCTCAGCGATAACCCACCCGTGCTTATGTACCAGATCGGCACCCACGAGACCCGAATCCTTATCGATATCCCCGATAACCTGCCTCAGGCCTCGGTGAAGAATGGTGGTGTCAAGGGTTACATGCGAAACAATATCCTGCCCAAGCTCCCAGAGGGTGCCCAGCAGTCATTCTCCGATGCGCTAGAGCAGGGTCAGCTACGGTCAATGCCGAACTCGTTCCTGCCTGCCTCGGTCAACAAGACACCCGGCTTGATGATTTTGGGAGATGCGCTCAACATGCGGCACCCTCTTACGGGTGGAGGCATGACAGTGGCGCTCAACGATGTCTGTGTCATCCGCGAATTGCTCAGCCCAGAGCGCGTGCCCAACCTCTCCGATACAGGCCTTGTTCTCGAACAGCTCGCGGAATTCCACTGGAAGCGAAAGAATTCTTCTTCTG